TGCTCTTGTTCGTGGGTCGGTCACAACCGTAACTATTGGAGTTTTGCCAAACATTACATGGGGGCCGAACCGCTCCAATAGAGTTCAGTGAGTGACCGCGCAACAAGGCAGACAGGTATAACGGTAGAAAAGAAAGCTACCAGTAGAGGAAATTGGTGCCATACGTAAGGGCAAGTAAGGGCGCAGGCAGCTAAGGGTTTGACAGTATTGATCAGACCGACGCAGGGTGAATTCAAAAAGGGCGCCAGTATTGACTCAAGATGACTAGGGGCGTCTGTAGTGCGAGTATAAGACTATTGATCCCGTACAAGAAGGGGCCCATAGGGATCGGCTTCGTGGATTGCGGATTAACTGTTGTTTTTCGCGATTGATTGCTGTTTTTCGCGATTGTTGCTGTTCTTCGCGATTAGCCTCGTATCGTATTCCGCGTCGGTTGTCGTAAGCAAGGACGTAAGAACGTAGGTAAAACGATTTATACCGATATAAAGTATTGATCCCGTACAAGAAGGGGCGCATAGGGATCGGCTTCGTGGATTGCGGATTGTTTGTTGTTTTTCGCGATTGATTGCTGTTTTTCGCGATTAGCCTCGTATCTTATTCGTCGTTTGTCGTAAGCAAGGACGTAAGAACGTAGTTAAAACGATTTATACCGATTGATCTAGTACAAGAAGGGGCGCATAGAGATCGACTTTGTGGATTGCGTATTGCTTCTTGTTTTTCGCGATTTGCCGTGTCGTATTCCTCGTCGTTCGTCATAAGCAAGGACGTAAGAACGTAGGTAATACTTTCGATTGCAGAAAATGTTAGATGAAGTGGAAATGTACGAGCCGGATGGGAAGGAGAATGAAACCCCGGAGAGTTTCCCACACATGAATTTGGTGTGTATGCTGGAAGTAATTAGAGATATGATAAAGCAGATTCGTGTTGATCTGCGGGAAAAAAATGAGGAAACACAAAATTTCCGCCCGCTATAAGAGCATGCATGAAGAGAGCCTATCAGGCGAAATTGAGCTGGTGTGTGAGAAGATAGAAGGGCTAATAGGGTGCAGTGGCGTCACCCGTTTACTGGACACAGAGATCGGGGAAACCCTAAGGGTCAGAGGCATAGGGTCGAAAGAGGATTGGCAAGAGTATATTAAGACAATGGAAAGGGATGGAAATATTCTGGAAAAGTTGTGTGATGAATTAAATGTCGATGCATTGCAGCTAGTGGCTACAGTGAAGAGCCTGAAGAAATCGACAATGAAAGGCAATCAGGGAGCAGCATAAAAGAAGCCCACAGAGGTACGGCAGAAATGGATCACAGTGGGGCAGACAACTGCACAGCTTCACTATTGCAGGATCAGATGGGCCCACAGAGTGGAGTGCGCTCAGGACGCAACTCGAGCAGCTCTGCAACTCGTTTGGAAATGGGATCAGCCAGCGCAGGTCAGGATTCAAATATGAGAATTTTGAATTATGTTCAATCGTTATCTTGTGCTGATCCCGGGATTTTTAAAGGGAAACCAAATGAAAATTTCAATGAATTCATTGGGAAGTTTCGTCGGAAATACAGTAAGGTCATAATAGATGACAAGGCATTGATCGAGGTATTAAGCGATGACCACTTAGGGGGCCGCGCAAAGAATATCGTGAGAACCCTGCCAGGCAGTATCGTTGACAAAGGCTTCGAGGAGGTAGTCAAAGAGCTGGGTCGGCTGTTATCAAGTGACTGCGTGGCTGGGAGGATGAGAGCGCTTACGGAATTGCGCAGCCTGCGAATAAGACCTGGGCAGGACGTTGCAGATCTTTGCGTCGTCTTGGAAAACCTGTCTAGAAGGGAAAACCCAGAGAGTGCAGGCGAGGCCAGATCCTTAGAGAATGCGCAAATTTTGTTGGAAAATTTGCGTGAGTGGCCCGAACATGTTCAGCTGATAAGTGTTTTGCACCGGGCGAGTCCGGAGATTGCATATGATGAAGTCAAGCAACTTGCTTTGAGCAAAGAACAATCAAGGGCATTGGTCGAAGCAAGTCAGTACAGAAGAGTAGGGAAACCAGTAGAGTGGAAAACTAGGAAGAGCATCTACGCGCGGCGGACAGGAGGAGAACCTAACTTTCACAAGCGAACTGAGGTTGAGTCGGCGGGCAGTGTGGACCGGCAGGCAGGAAGGTTACCCCAGTCCCCCGTTTTCAGCGAAAGCAGGCCAGTGGTTGAGGAGGCCGCCAGAAAGTGTTTTAACTGTGCCCAGACTGGCCACTTTGCTAGAGAGTGCCCGAGGAAAGGGGCGAAAGTACAAAAAATCGGTGGTCCGGGTGGAAGCAAGACCATCGACAGAGGTTTGGTGTCGGAAATCATCCGAGCGGTACGTAGCTGTGGGTTGAAGACCCGGAAGCAAGGTAGAGGTGAGAGCGCAGGAAGAGTAGGGCAGTTGATGCGTAAAAAAGTCAAGCTATTAGGGATGACGGCATCAGCCTTGATTGATAGTGGC